AAGAAAAGGTGGGAGCAGTCGACAAAGCAGGAACAAAGGGGGCCCACTGGCCAGACCCATAAAGCAGGAACAAAGAGGGCCCACTGGCCAGACCCATAAAGCAGGAACAAAGGGGGCCCACTGGCCAGACCCATAAGCTTCGGCAGAAGGACCAGGCTCGAATGCCTCCGCCACCGCCCCAGAAGGGGACACCCCCGAGACCGCCCGAGTCTCAACCAACTAAACCCAGCCCCGGCTCCGAAACCCTCAGACGTTTAGGAGCCGGCAGCAAGGGGGGGGGGGTGACCGAATGAGCAACAGAAGGGGAAGTACTCGGAGGGGCGGACGGAACCAGAGCCGAAACGACTCCCACCCCCAAGTCCGGGTCCCTATAACCAAAACGGGGCAGTCTCGGGGCATCCGGGGCAGCGACTAACCTAGCGCGTTGCAGCAACCTAAAGCGAGCATGCGATGCCTCAGCTGCCCTCACCCGCATATCAGGTGCAGTAGCCTAGGTGAACTGGAGAACGTACAGACAACACACGTCGCATGACTCTGAGTCAAAACAATCACCGACCCAATAGGCAGCATGGTGGAGGCAAAACCGGTGAGTGTTCCCCTGAGACAAGGGGACAGAACAACCTTCAAACTCGCAGGACGCGAGGAGGGACTCAGGGGTCACATCCATCGGACCACGTAGCCCCCATGGGGTTTTCCAGGGCCCTTAGCCTCAGTAATACGCTAAGGGAAGCCCAGGCAGGGTACCGCGAACCGGCACCCAAAACTACCAACAAACTGCTATAGCTGAACCCCCGGGACGTGTACACTCACGGGGGCCCAAGCGGGGAGTACCACCAATCAACAAAATTGAGACAAACCCCAAGAACAGCGATGGGGGACCAAACAGGTAGACCCCCACCAGGCAAAAAACAAAAACAAAAAACAAAAACCCCGCAAGAGGACAACATACCCGGGCGGAACAGAGCCGGCCGCTGTTAATGGTGAAAACTAGCTGTGCAGTACCCCGCGCCCCTACCAGTGACGAAAACTACCCCCTGCCCAGAGACAAACAAGGGCAAGAAAACCCCCCAGCTGACCCCAAGGGCGGCCAAGTACCGAGCAGTACACGGCACAGCAGAGGTAGACCCCAAGGTGACCCAGGGAAGGTAGCCCTAACCCCAAGGGCAGTACTTACAAGGCGCCCTGGGGAGAATACCCTAGGCGCATGCAGCCCGAGCACCGTGGAATAATACTCCTGGCCCACACACCACCGGAAGGGACAACTCACATCACCAGGCACAGAACTTCTGTGTAATTCTGTAATTACACTTAGGTAATTACAGAACTGCAACTGCAAACAGGAGCCAGAAGCACGACCGCACCAGATCCCATCAGCCTGAGAACTGATGGTTGGGTCGCCGACGGTGGGGTCTGGTGCTCCCCCCTTCCCCCTCCTGGGGAGGGGGGGGGTTACGCAGACAGCGGCGCGGCGACATGATGACGTCATGAGGGACCACGAGTTCTGTCCACCTGTTCAGTCTTCGGTCGCAATAGTTTACCAGAATAGGGGTTTGTTTTGGGGCGCCTACCTTTCTGGGTGCCTATCCCAGTCAATGGCAGACATAGAATTCTCCCAATCATAAGGGGGGTCTCTATAGGCCATTGCTCCTCGTGCCTCTCTAGAGGGGGCCAGGTTCTGGCTCGTGGTCCCCGGTAGGCAAGAACTCCATGCATTGACTGATGCCAGAAAGTTATACATATCTATTCAGCCTGGATAGCTCCGGGGCGCCGAAGGGGCTCCCCCCAGAAAGACCTTGACAAAATAAGTATGTGGAACACCACTTGGCAAATGGAATTTATTGTGCATAAATGCCATGTTATGGAATGTGGAATAGGAGAACATAGACCCCACACAACCTATAAATTATGTGGAAAATCTTTAAAGAGTTCTGATAAAGAAAGAGAGCTAGGGGTGGTTCTAGATAGAAAACTATCACCTGAGGACCACATAAAGAACGTTGTGCGAGGAGCCTATGCCACGCTTTCTAACTTCAGAATTGCTTTTAAGTACATGGGTGGCAAAATACTAAAGAAATTGTTCACGACTTTTGTTAGGCCAAAGCTCGAATATGCAGTGGTTGTGTGGTGCCCATATCTTAAGAAGCACATCAACAAACTAGAAAAGATGCAAAGACATTCTACTAAGTGGGTCCCAGAACTGAAGGGCAAGAGCTACGAGGAGAGGTTAGAGGCATTAAATATGCCAAAACTAGAAGACAGAAGAAAAAAAAGTGACATGATCATTACGTACAAAATAATAACAGGAATTGATAAAATTGATAGGGAAGATTTCCTGAGACCTGGAACTTTAAGAACAAGAGGTCATAGATTCAAACTAACTAAACAAAGATGCCGAAGAAACATAAGAAAATTCACTTCGCAAGTAGAGTGGTAGACGGTTGGAACAAGTTAGATGAGAAGGTTTGTTGAGGCCTAAACTGTCAGTAGCGTCAAAACGTTATATGACAAAAAGGGCTGGGTAGACGGGACACCACGAGCTTAGCTCTCATCCTGTAACTACACTTAGGTAATTGCACTTAGGTAATTGCACACTGTGTATGTGTATGGAATGTGCCAAAGGTTCACACGGTTAGGTGGTGGTGGATTTTTCTCATAGCTTTTGGCTTCAGGTGGAATATGAGATGGTTGTGTTCGAGAGTTTTGTTGTGGTGTCCATGTTACCACTTGGTGGCATTTGGTGATAGTGATTTATTGGTTGGTTTTGTAGGACAGAACTTGATCTCAGTTTTGCCAAGTTGTGCCTGGAAAGGCTTTTACGCTTATGTTAAGCATTTACTGTCTGCATTATGGACTGGATTAAATTTTCTTCTGTATAACCTTAGTGCCATTATATGTAAATCAGCTAGAAAACCTCAGGAACAGCAGGGAAGTTTTGATAAGTCACTGGCTTCCTGTTGCCATTGAGGTCATTAGAGATCATTGTCATCAGGTAAATTCAGGTAAATAATCCACAGTAAATGTTTTTAAATGTCTCACTATCAGTGCAAAAGGCTAATTAGCTCGTATTGCAGAATGTCTGTACCAGAGGTGAGTAATAGGTTTCTTTGTTTTGGGAACAACCAGGAATACTGTTCAGAATGTTTCTTTTCATATGCATTTAAAGTTAGATTTGTCTGTGTATCAAAACATATCATTAAAAATTATTGTTTCCGGCGGGACCCCCTTGTGGCTTCCTGGAGCTATCTCACCGAGATAGCTTCCAAATACTATGTCACATCAGGTGTGGAGTTCTGTTTAGCCTAACAGGGACCCGAAGCAAACCCCTCATAAAGATGTAGAGAAGCATGTGACACTGTGCCACCCAATCCAGAAAGTCATTGAACCAATTCAGACTACTGAGGCCAGACTACTGAGGTGAGGGCCTCGCCCTAGGTAAGTCCAGCTCTTACTGCCCGATGTCAAGGCTTTGGGTTGGGAGCAAGCATTTTGGCTGATTGGGGTGCACTTGTCCACACACAACACTGAGGTCAGCCTTTACAACCTCATTGCCAAGGGTGTGAAAGCTATTATATTACATCTGACGAACATCTCCAGTGCCTGGGTGTGTCTCTTTAGTTTGTCCTTCGGGCCCTGGTAATTCCCCTGTGGGTTCGGTGTGGGCTATAAATATTCCCTCAGAGCCTGCTCCCACCTCTTTGCCATAGAGTGGTGATCATTCTTTTTGCCTCTGCCATGCAACCTGTTGGGTCTGTGATACCTATGACCCTCTGTACTGTGGGGTTTGCTCTTCCCTGTGTGGCTCTTTTATCTGAACTCTCCTCATGATGCCTTGGATGCTTTGGAGCTGGCCTGACAATCCAGGGGTCATATCAAATACACCTGACTAAAGCTGGCCCCAGTATTTAGTATACATTCATCGGCTGCACTGTGACCATGTCGCTTTGGATAGTCTCTCGCGTAAAATTTTCTCATTTTCGTTCTGACTGGTATTTCTCTTCACCAGTTAACTAATTAACCAACAAGGTATATTCTAGGTTCTCCTCCTTGGTGAGTCGTTCTCTTTCTTCTCTGGGTAGTTACCTTTAGGAAGCCACCCTCCAAGAAACCTAGCGTTGAAATACACCTTTCTGTTTGAGCTCCAGTGGCTCTTAATTCCCTCCCTCCCTCCCTTCCAAGCCATTGGTTGGGGGTTTCATTTGTGCATCTGCTCCAGAACTTGTTAAGTAGACCAGTAAGCACTGAGAGCTCAGGGCCTCCACCCTCAACTGGTGGGAGGAAATTGCTAACTAGCTTGCACTTATTTTGAGAGATTCGATCATTTGTTTACATTGCTGTGGGAGTTCATTTGGTGGTTTTGAGGCTTCAGTCTGTTTGAACACAGCTGTATTCCGTCTGTATTGGGTTGCTGACATTCTGGATGCTTTCACAGTGGGGTAATGGAGTGTCACTAGGTTATCACTCTACATCTCAATGAAGGGGGCCAGGTTCTGTTTCTGATTCCCAGTTGGTCAAACAGAACTCCACAGCTAATGGTGACCTAGTAGTTTGGAGCAATTTCCGAGAGATAGTTTCATTAAGCCACCGGAGCACACTCAGAAAGGGGCAGTTCATTACATTCAATGCTTTCATTACATTCAACTTTTTTAGTTAGTATATTTTTTAAATAAATTTGTGTAGAAATTACTACAAAATAGTGTAGTAATTTAATGCTGTCTTATTGTACTACTGTACTTTAACTAATTACATTGTGTGGATATAGTGAGCTTGGAGATGGTTTTGATCTCATTTATATTTTTATGTCTAGATTTAATCCATATCTTTTAATCCATATCTTTAGCTTTAAAAGTCTAACTGCTGTAAAGTTATCTTTGAATAAAGTCTGTAAATGTGGATATTATAGAAGAAAGAGAAGCCTTTTTATATACGCTAAATCTTTATATTATTAAATATCATGTCCTGTGGGAATAGAAATATTATATACTAATTACTGTACTTGACAGGTTGCCAATAGGAAATCCAGGTAAAGGAGGGGGCTCTCAGTATAACCGGGATGACAAGACTCCCAGCAAGGAGTCATCTCCACGAGCTGACATGAAGAAGCCGGCAGCCTTTATTGAAGTAAGTACAGTACAATGATTTGTCATGGTTGGTCATCCCTGTCTTCCTGGTGAGAGAGCAGGTGGATGGAAGTAAAAGTAAGATGAGTTTTTAATTCATTCTTTTTTATTTTAAATGGGAAATGGTGTATTGGATATGTATATAACTTATACAATACAAATTTAAAATTTAGTTTTCCCTTCATTTATCCTCTAGCTAAGTTATTTTGTTATTATTGTGTTATGGTTAGGTCAACATAAATATGTGCATTATTGTAATGTACTGAACACTGGTTGATATTTCATGTCTTCCCCAAAACAGGGTCAGCACATTTTTTGTTTACAGTGTGTAGTTTAACAATTATTATGGATATTACATGTTTCTATTACAATTTTATAGCTGAAATTTGAACACGCTTAAAAAAAAAAAGTGGGTAAGGTAGAAATATTTAACTTTGTTTTTCTTGACATTTCACTTCTTTAGAAGTGCAAAACCTAAACTTTGTGTTGGTGATTTGAAAGATATTTATTCATAACTCATGGTTATTGTCTCGTTTATTTTTATTGATATTAATGTGTTGTATATGTTAGCACACATACACAGTATGTATGAAGTTGTGAAAGTGAAGAATGACCTATTGTGAAGAAAGCAGCATAATCTAATGATCCAAATTTTTCCCTCATACTTAAAAATCATTATGACCTCATGCATTGCATGGAATGACTTGATGGATCTGTTGACCACCTTGCTCCTCCACTAATATCAGGCTTCCGAAACATAAACTCTTTAACTGCTACATATCCCGTAATAATTCTAAATATCTGACTAACTTATTCTGTGATGCTGTTGCATATGACAAGCAGTACTGTGCTGCTCTTTAGCTTTGGTTTGTATAGGTACAGTATATTGGTACTAAAATAGTGTTATTGCTTAAGATGTGCTTTATTTCATAAGATGGTGATATGTACTGTGATGTGTTTGCCCTTTGAGGTATCCATTGGAATGGAAAAAGTCACTGCAAAAAATTTCAAAAATTTATTAATTCTGCTCCATAGAGAAATTAGAGTTATCTTGGTGAAAATCATTGTTTGTTTTCCACTTGTTGTGTAGGACCTCCAGTTTCTTTCCATGCACCTCCAATTCAGTTCACTTCACTCAACATTATATATTAATTTAGTTATTTTCTTTACTGTTACCTAAATTAAAATTATTATTTCAGGTTCTTTGAAAGTACATTACTGAGCAAACTTGATAATCTTAACATCTAAATAACAAATACCTTTAAAATGCTTAATATGTAATTTGTAACTAAAAATATATTACAGATCAATCTCAAAAATACATTGTTCAAAATTATAGAAACTTCAACCCTTTTGATTTCCTAGTGGAGTAATATGTTTAAAGTTTGGAATAAGAATCCCAAATTTCATATGCGAGCATAAAATCCAGACTGACCTGGTACATAAATTCTAGATAATCATATTTTTATTGGGTATGTATATCTTTCTGGCCTCAGTCAATGCATGGAGTTCTTGCCTACCGGGGACCACGAGCCAGAACCTAGCCCCTTCTAGAGAGGCACGAGGAGCAATGGCCTATAGAGACCTCCCCACCCCTCCCCTGTGATTAAGAGCATTCTGTGTCTGCCATCGACCGGGATAGGCACCCAGAAAGGTAGGTGCCCCAAAACAAACCTCTATTCTGGTTAAAGTATTGCGACCAAAAGCCAAACAGGTGGACAGGACTCTCCAAACGAAAATTAGCAAATTAGCATGATGTCATCATGTCGCCGCGCCGCTGTCTGCACAACCCCCCCTCCCCTACCCGGGAGGGGGAATGGGGAGCCCCTGACCCATCTGCAGGCGACCCAACCTACAGTTCTTAGGCTAATGGGAGTCTGGTGCAGTCATGCCTCTGCCTCTAGTTTTCTGTTACAGTTCTGTGCCTTGTGGTTGAGCTGTCCCTTCAGGTGCTGCGTGAACCGGGAGTGAGATTCCACGGTACTTGGGCTGCATGCGCCTAAGGTCACCTTCCCTAGGTGCCCTGTAAGTACTGCCCTTGGGGCTTGGGGCCCTCCTTCCACAAGTCACCTTAGGATCTATCTCTGATGTGCCGATTACTGCTCGTATTTTGGCCACCTTTGGAGTCAGCTGTTTTTTTTCTTGCCCTTGTTTGTCTCTGGGTAGGGGGGTTGTTTTTGTCACTGGCATGGGCATGGGGTACTGCACAGCTAGTTTTCACCTATAACAGCGGCCGGCTCTGTTCTGCCTGGGTATGCTGGGTATGTCCTCTTGCGTTTTTTTTTTTTTTTTTGCCTGGTGGGGGGGGAAGGGTTGCCATTGTGGTATCCCATCGCTGTTCTTGGGGTATTTATATTTCTCACTGTGGTTCTCCCTGCTTGGCCCCCATGAGTGGACACGTCCCGGGGTTCAGGTCTTAGAAGTTTGATTGGTAGACTTGGGCGCCGGTTTACAGTACTCTGCCTGGGCTTCCCTTAGCATGTAACCAAGGTTAAGGGTCCAGGAAAACCCTACGGGGACTACGTGGTCCAATGGATGTGACCCCTGAGAATCCCCCCTCGCGTCTTGCGAGTTTGAAGGTTGCTCTGTCCCCTTGTCTTGGGGTAACACTCACCGGTTTTGCCTCCGCCATGCTGCCTGTTGGGTCGGTGATTGTTTTGACTTGGAGTCGTGTGACGTGTGTTGTCTGTACGTCCTCCAGTTCGCCCAAGCCTCTGATAATGATATGCAGGTGCAGGCAGCTACGGTGTTGCATGATAGATTTAGGTTGCTGCAACACGCTTGGTTGGTTGCGACCCCAGATACCCTGAGACTGCCCTGTTTTGATTATTGGGACCCGGCTTGGGGGGGTGGGAGTTGTTCTGGTTCTGTCCGCCCCTCCTAGTCCTTCCCTTTCTGTCGTTCACCCCACCCTTGCTTCCGGCTCCGAAGCATCTGAGGGTTTTGGAGTCGGGGTCTTGGTCTAGTTGGTGTTGAGACTCGGGCGGTCTCGGGGGTGTCCTTTTTTGGGATTGCGGCGGAGGCATTTGAGCCTGGTCCTTCTGCCAGGGCTTCTGGGTCTGGCCAGTGGGCTCCCTTTGTTCCTGCTTTTTTGGCAGCTCCCATCTTTTCTTTAGAGGTAATTACCTAAGTGTAGTTACAGGATGAGAGCTACGCTCATGGTGTCACGTCTCCCCAGCACTCTGTCATATAATGCTTTGAAATTACTGACCTCCACCACCTTCTCACCTAACTTGTTCCAACCATTTACCACTCTGTTTACATAAGTGAATTTTCTTATATTTCTCCGGCAGCTTTGTTTCATTAGTTTAAATCTATGACCTCTTGTTCTTGAAGTTCCGGGTCTCAGGAATTCTTCTCTATCATTTTTATCGATTCCTGTTACTATTTTGAATGTAGTGATCATATCACCACTTTTTCTTCTATCATCTAGTTTTTGCATATATAATACCTCTAACCTCTCCTCATAGCTCTTGTCCTTCAGTTCTGGGAGCCACTTAGTGGCATGTCTTTGCACCTTTTCCAGTTTGTTGATGTGCTTCTTCAGATATGGGCACCATACAAACGCTGCATATTCCAGCTTTGGTCTAACAAAAGTCGTGAACAATTTCTTTAGTGTTTCTCCATCCATGTATTTAAAAGCAATTCTGAAGTTAGAAAGTGTGGCATAGGCTCCTCGCACATTGTTCTTAATGTGGTCCTCAGGTGACAGTTTTCTATCTAGAACCATCCCTAGATCCCTTTCTTTGTCAGAATTCTTTAAAAGATTTCTCACATAATTTATAGTTTGTGTGGGGTCTATGTTCTCCAATTCCACATTCCATAACATGGCATTTATTCACATTAAATTCCATTTGCCAAGTGTTGCTTCCTATACTTACTTTGTCCAGGTCTTCTTGAAGGGCATGACAATCATCTAGGTTTCTTATCTTCCCTATTATCTTAGCATCATCAGCAAACATGTTCATATAATTCTGTATTCCCACTGGTAGATCGTTTATGTAGACAATGAACATTACCGGTGCAAGAACTGAACCCTGTGGTACTCCACTTGTGACATACCTTGCCTCTGATTACGGCCTTTATTTTTCTGTCAGTTAGGAAATTTTTCATCCATGTTAGAAGCTTACCTATCACCCCTCCAATATGTTCCAGTTTCCAGAACAACCTCATATGGGGAACTCTGTCGAAAGCCTTTTTTAGGTCCAGATAGACACAGTCAACCCAACCATCTCTTTGCTGTAAAATCTCTGTGGCTCAATAAAAAAACTGAATAAGTTCGTTACACAGGATCTTCCAGATCGAAAACCATACTGTCTGTCTGATATTATATCTTTTCCTCCAGGTGTTCTACCCATTTAGTTTTAATTATATTTTCCAATATTTTGACTATTACACTTGTCAATGATACAGGTCTATAATTAAGGGGGTCTTCCCTGCTGCCACTTTTGTAGATTGGAACTATGTTAGCCTTTTTCCACACATCAGCTACAACTCCTGTAAACAGGGATGCCTGAAAAATCATTTGAAGTGGGATGCTGAGCTCAGGTGCACATTCTCTCAGAACCCATGGTGAAACTCCATCAGGGCCAACTGCTTTGTTCTTCCTTAGCTCTTTGAGCATTTTTTCCACTTCGTCTCTAGACACCTCTATGTTGTTCTCTGGAATTCTTAATGTGTCTGGTTCCCTGAAGATTTCATTTTGTACAAAAACACACTTTGGAACTTTTCGTTTAGTGTTTCACACATTTCCTTTTCATTTTCCGTGAATCTGTTTCCCATTTTCAACCTCTGAATATTATCCTTTACCTGCAATTTGTTGTTTATGAATTTATAGAATAGACCTGGTTCTGTTTTACATTTGTCTGCAATCCCTTTTTCAAAATTTCTTTCTGCTTCTCTTCTCACTGCCGTGTAGTTGTTTCTTGCATCTTTGTATCGCTGGTATGTTTGGGGGTTTGGCCTCTTCCTGTATTGATTCCATTTTTGTGTCTTTTGGTC